TTCCTTCCTTCCTTCCTTCCTTCCTTCCTTCCATTCATATACCCGTCCTTCCTTCCATTCATATGCCTTTCCTTCCTTCCATTCATATGCCTTTCCTTCCTTCCTTCCATTCATATGCCTTTCCTTCCTTCCTTCCTTTCTTCCTTCCATTCATATACCCTTCCTTCCTTCCATTCATATGCCTTTCCTTCCTCCCTTCCTTCCTTCCATTCATATGCCCTTCCTTCCTTCCTCCCTCTTTTCTTTCTTTCTTTCTTTCTCTGACTTCACAATGCTGACATTCTCTCTCTGAATTTCACTTCACAAAGCACCAGGAAAATAAAAATGACAAAGAGAGGCGGAGCCACGTGAGCTGTGTTTATATAGATTAGAAGACCTGAGTGGACTTTAAGGTTTTAGGTTTTATGAGCATCCCTGAGCTCCATCTCACTTTGTATGTCCTCTCTTCCTATTGTTCTGTTTCTCTCATAGCCTGAGGGTGATGAAGAACTTCCTTGGCATGTCAGGACCCAGCAGACACAGAATGAAAGAGATGAGATAAACAGTGGAAAAGAAGACAGAGAGGCCTGAGGGTCTTCTTTAGTTCCTCCAGCTGGGTGTGTTCCTGTTGCTCGAGCCCTTTCTTTGCTCTCTGATCTCATGCAGAGTTGTTTTAATGAAGCCTTTGCTGCTGTAATTAGCAGGAGAATTGAGGGCTGAACAGGGAGTTATTAAGGGTTTTTCAATAGAAGTGCTAAGGAGAAAGATGGTGAGTAAGAAAGACACAGAAATCTGTGAAAATCCACTTCGGGCATTAAATAAATAAAAAAAACCCTCAAAATTCTGAGAAAACAATTTAAAGATACTATCTCATAATTACAAGATTTTAAAAAATCATAAATTCAACAAGTCATACTTTCGAGATGCTATAAATCCTAACTATGAGATAAAATGTTAATAATAAGTCATAATTTTGAGATACTATAAGTCATAATTATGAGATAAGTCATAATTTCAAGATACTAATTCATCATTTGGTATTTGGTATGAGATACATTTGGTATTGTTGGAAGGTGTGCATGTACACAGGCAGGCCTACTGCTTATGACTCAAAATTATCACTTACAATCACAAAATTGATTGAAAAAATGATTTACTTGTTATCACATAATTATGACTTAGTATCTCAAATTATGATTTAGTATCACAATCATAACACAATCGCAATAACAATAAACAGTGTATCTCAAATTTGACTTGGCATCTCATAAATGTGATTTGGTATGTTATAATTATGATTTTCTATCTCAAAACTACAACTTTGTATAGTCATAATTATGACTAAATGCCTCAAATATGATTTAGTATCTCGAAAACATAATTTAAAGATACTATCTCATAATTACAAGATTTTTTAAAAAAAATCATAATTTTAATGTCATAATTTCGAGATGCTATAAATCCTAACTATGAGATAAAATGTTCATAACAAGTCATAATTTTGAGATACTATAAGTCATAATTATGAGATAACAAGTCGTAATTTCAAGATACTAATTCATCATTTTGAGATACTGTTGGTATTGTTGGAAGGTGTGCACGTACACAGGCAGGCCTACTGCTTATGACTCAAAATTATCACTTACAATCACAAAATTGATTGAAAAGATGATTTACTTGTTATCACATAATTATGACTTAGTATCTCAAATTATGATTTAGTAACTTGAAATAATGATCTGGTATCTCAATTGTGGCTTAGTATCTCATAATTATGACTAATTTGATCTTAAAACATTGACTCATAATTTACTTAGTTTCCCAAAATTATGAGACCGCATCTCAACATATTGACTCAGTATCTCAAAATTATGACTTAGTATCACAATCATAACACAATCACAATAACAATAAACAGTGTATCTCAAAATTGACTTGGCGTCTCGTAATTGTGATTTGGTATGTTATAATTATGATTTTCTATCTCAAAACTATGACTTTGTATAGTCATAATTATGACTAAATACCTCAAATATGATTTAATATCTCGAAATTATGACATGATGCAATTCTTATGAATTAGTATCTAACAATTAAGACATAATATGCCATAATTATAACATAGTATCTCATAATTATGACTTGGTATCTCAATTATTACTTAGTATCTCTTAATTATGAGATAACACCCAGGATTTTTTCACTGGCGGAAATTGGCTTCAATAGAAATCAGAGATAGTTAATGACAGTAAAAGAGACAGCAAGTAAGAAAGTGAGAGATGGAAAGAGCGAGCAAAAGCGACAGACTGCCTTACCTCCGTCTCCAGGAAGCGTCTGAGTGCTCTTTTCTTTTTGATGCTTTTCCGTCTCACCGACACGGCCACGCCCAGCGCCACAATGACCACCACGAACAAGCCGCCGATCACCCCTGCTGCAATCAGAGGAGTCCTAACAGACAGGGAAACAGAAGCTTATAAAAACACTAGACACAACAACAAGCAGAAGAATCGCTTAATAGCTCCAATTTATGAGTTATATCACAACACTGACATTTCTTGATGTCCACACTGACATTTCCAGAGTAATTATGTTGTGATGTTAGCGCTGTGAAGTAGTCTCTTAGCAATTTACAACCAAATCCGAGGGAAACGTTAATGTCCTATACATTTTTTGTCTTGTTCTTCTATCATGCAGACGTGCTTTCTTTGCAAGCGATTCTTTCTGAAGGAGTCGGTTATGTGAACGAGTCAGTGTTGTGTAGCAAATGACACCATGATGCAACTGACAGACAAACAAAAGCACTTCAAACTGTCTTATTTAGAGGGAAAATGACTCATTTATGCAACTGCACCTTCAGTGCACCTTTTAGATGATTTTCGTCTTACACAGTGTCCCTCGAGTATTTAAACCACTGTGTGGTATTGTCCCACTTCTTTTGTATCTCGAAAGACATTGTCGGGAAAAAAAAAAACATATATAGGATATCTGAACGTCCAGTTCTACTTGCTAATCTCTAACCTTACACTCACTCTGTTTTAAGAAAGCACTTGATTTAATTGGATACCAAATAAGTTTTAGTAAAACAGGACGATCTGTGCAGAAATAACAAGGAAACACACACACAAGCGACTGTTAATAACAGCTTTGCTCAAACTTTGAGAGTGTAGCTTCAATTTATTATATGCTTTAGCCCCACACAAACACACACACACACACACACACACACACACACACAACTACTGCCCATAAACTACATCTCCCACGCTTCCTTGCTCTCTATCTTTTCTTTGCTTACATGGCAAAGGTGTACTTTATAAAACGCCATGCCTTTATTTACCCCACTGTGTGTGTGTGTGTGTGTGTGTGTGTGTGTGTGAGTGTGTGTGGGGTAAATAAGGGCATGGCGTTTTATAAAGTATACCTTTTCCATATAAGCAAAGAAAACCATGAAGAAAAAAAAAGATAGAGAGCAAGGAAGCGTGGGAGATGTAGTTTATGGGCAGTAGTTGTATGCGTGTGTGTATGTGTGTGTGTGTGTGTGTGTGTGTGTGTGTGTTCGTGTTGCTCTGAACAGAAGAAAGACACTTCCCATTCACACAGTGCTGGAGTATCTATTGCTGAGATGAGAATCTGGCTGGTTAATTCACTATTGATCGGACGTATAAAGCTCCCATTCTTCACACGCCTACGCACATCGACGACACACGTCAGTAGTACACATGATCACGCTACACGTGGGCACGTTTACTCTGTCATTTACTTTTGCAACTCTTTGTGTATGAGTAAAGTTCGGTGTAATGAACACTACTTTTCGTTCTTAAGACCTATTTGGAGCGCATCTCAGGGAATTTTACTAC